AATCAGGAAATTCTAATTAGTAAAAACTTAGAGTTTGCTTTGAAATTTTTGGAAATCTGGGAATTTCCCGTGATATGGTGATCTGCGTTTGTTCACACCTTTTTGAAACAGCTATAAAGTTAGCCTAATAGGATTTAAATGTCGGGAAAATGATTGTCGGGGAAATCATGTAAACCTCATATTAAATACAAATCGTTTTAAGAAACCCAAGATATAAACGAATATCTTTTCTTTAAGACACGAGATACCAGAAGAAAATGAATTGTCACACCAGAACATCAAGGATCGATATTATGGTACTAATGATCCGGTAGCCAAAAAAATATTAAACCGCGTAAAAGGAGGTGGGAATTCTAACATCACTCCACCAGAAGACAAGTCTATCGTAAGTATTATATCGGTGAACATTATCATTATTTGATTAAATTGCTTAATTATGTTTCATGTTTAGACTTCACTGTTTATTACCGGCGTCGAAGAAGATATTACAGAAACAGATCTTAGGTATCATGCAGACTGTAATATGTAACTGTGTAATCAAACAAATACTCATTTTGTAAAATTATCACATATAGAGGTCACTTTTACGCGTTCGGAGAAATCAAATCAGTCGTTGTTGTTCACAAATCTAAATGCGCTTTCGTGAATTATGCAACTAGAGCATCAGCCGAGCAAGCGATAGATAAATCTCATAATAACCTAATTATTAAAGGACACACATTGAAAGTAGCATGGGGAAGGCCGAGACCTACAGGACCAAAGACGGAGGTACAAGCGGTAACAGCGCCGCAAGGTCTCATACTTCCAGCACTTGAATCTATGGAAATTCCTGCACCGCCTGGTGAAACTCCTGATGGTTTCCTGTATCCAAGTCAAGGTAAGTATTTAGATAATGATAACATTATATATATATATATATATTCGATGAGACAAAGTTAAATTTATCATTTGTTTAGATCCGACCTATCAGGGCTCTAGAGTTTAGAACCGGGTTATAGTAAACCGTGTCAAAACGGTTCAACCGAGTCAAAAATTTACAACTCGGGTCAAAACGGTTGACCTCTAACAATCTGTTATTATTACAGACATAACAAAATTTAACATTATAATTGTATTGTGAATAAACACCCTTTTTCTCTTACTAATTTATCTAAATGTTCAA